TCTGTTTGTTATTCAAACATCATGTTATTCTGTACAGACTATCTTCCTTCACTGATCATTTATTTATCTAGTATTGCCACCCTCAATTTGTTGATTTGCCATTCTGCTATGTAATTTGTATGGTCCTTATGAACTATATTATACATTGATTGTTTTCGTGATGATAGCACACTTTGTTTCTTGAGTCAATGACGCTCTCTTATGAAATATTTTAATCTAGATTTTCGGTTTATTTTTATTTCTAATTTGTAATAATTTTTTGTGTATTCTCCTTCATATGAATTTTTTTTTTCTTTACCTGTAAAAGATTTTTCAGCAATACATATATAATTCACAGCTTCTACCCACTTTTAAAGTTCAAACTCTTTTAGTGTTGTGTGTATGATATACATGCATGTGTATGTGTTTGGTGTTTTAACTAGTAATTGATTTATTGTCTGCAGTTGGAAGGAGGTAGTTCACATCTTCCTTTGCTTGACCCCTCAATGGGTGCAACACCACTAGCACCATCGGCATGGAGAAAGAGATTGGAAGCAGTAAAAGACAGTGACGAAGCATCAAATTCAAATCTTAATACCAACTTGATTCTATTGGATGTGAGAAATGGTATTAAATCTAGTGCTGTATGTTTTCGCATGTATCGTATTTGTTGGGAGTTAGCTGTATGTTTCAAATTTGTCAAATAGCCTCTGAAATTTGTAAAACTTTAGCTATAGGTTGAGAGGTGAACTATAGTAGACCTCTCAATATGAAATGTTATAAACCAGGATGGTATGCTTTAGGAAAGACATAGTTGAAATGCACATTGCATCAGCTGGATGATGCTATTCCTGTTTCCCTTAAGTGCTGTAGTTTGCACCATTTGGAGAAGCAATCACACCCTAAACCACTAAAAACCAGATATCCTGTCTTCTCTTCTTCCCTATTTCTTCCTCTTTTCTCTCTATTCTTTTCTCTTGCTCTCTTTTTCCGCACTTTCTTGTTTCTTTCACCTTCCTGCTAGAAAGATTGAAGATGTTGTAATCACTTTTAATCAGGTTATGAATGGGATATTGGTCATTTTGAGGGTGCAAGACGACCTGATGTGGACTGCTTTAGGAGCACTTCATTTGGGCAATCTCAAAGTGAGGTATGGTCAATCTTTATATGCTAGGTTACTGCCGGCATTTCTGAACTTTGTTTAAGAACTTGTAAAATTCAGTTGTGTTGCAGGGTGCCATTGGTCTATCCTGAATCTATAAGGTTAACTTATAAAATTAACAAAGCATGATATGCAGACTTTTATGATATAGTTATCTTACCGTAGAGCTTGCATAATTGCACTTTTATTGGAAGACATATTATATTGTGCATCCTTTGGGCCATCTTAGAAAATTTTCACTTTCTGGTGATTCAGTGATGGTTATGATTATATTTACCAGTCACTATGTTCCTTTTTCAGGCTCTTGTCAGATCCTTTAGCGAATGTTGATAAGAAAAGACAGACATTTTAGTATTGTACAGGAGGTATCGCTGTGATGTATATTCTACTATCCTAAGGTGTTCACTGTTTTCATTTTTCCTTGTCATATAATATCATGTTTGATGTTAAAGGTGGTATATCAATCTGGATTACTTTCAATTAGATTGATTCGTTGCATAGAGCTCTTATAAGAGTTGCAAGAGGACAAGTAGTTTTCTGTTTAAAGTTAAGGGATACACAGGAATATATTTAGTTTTTTTTTTCGGTTCTTCAATTTACTCTGACAATATAGCACATACAAGCTTAATTTCTTCCCCTTACGAAGTGTTAATTTTTGGCAGACAAAGGGGTTTCCGAAATTTGTACACTTGAAGGGAGGTGTTTCTCACTATCTTAAGAATGAAGGTCCTGTAGAGTGGGTTGGGAATTGTTTGTGTTTGATTCGTCTTTTCTCCCACCTGGAACCTACAAGCCTGAAGCTACGACTGAAGCAAACAAGACTGGACAAGTTTCTGAAAACCATTTGCTATGTGCTATATATGTGATTCACAATTTCTGAGTAAGGATCGAAACTGTGCAAATCTTGATTGCAACCTACTTTTCTGTAAGTCACTTTCTTCTTTCCTTTTCTCCTGAGTTCTGTATCTTCATAACTGGGCTCGAAGAGCCAGTTCATGGTAGATGCATAGGTTCTGGAGTTTCATTTTTTTTGATCTTGATTGTGGGAACTGCAAATTTGTGATCAAATGAACACCTATTGGGTTTCTTGTCACATCCCCTGAAACTAAATCCTGATTATGCTCTTTCAAAATACCTCTTAGTATTTTTGTGTTTTATGATAGACACCACCAGCACAAAGGTCAGTCATCATGTTTACAGGACAAGGAAGAAAGGGATAATTAGTTAGTAGGCCTTTTGGGGAATTTGTTAGCACTAGCCACGTGCAGACAAATTAGAAAAGTGTGATTAGTGGGATATATATATAGTTGGGTATACGATTTGTAGGGCAGAGAATATTTTAGAAAACGGATTAGTGGGGAGGTACCTAGCCGCGAACAGCTACCGTTATCTAATTTGCTTTCCTTTACATTCTGTTCTTTGTTCTTAATTCTGTTATACTGTCAATGTTTCTGGGTTGTTCATAATGGCAGATATTCAATATAGAGGGATTCAGAGTAATTCAGATATGTTGTGTGTTGCTTATATTTGGGTTGAGTTTGTATGGGTTCCTATCATTTTATTAAATTTCGTCATTGGAGAACTGAAAATCCTTAAAAAGAAAAGGTCATTATGAAATAGAAGACCAAAGCTCAATTGCTTTCTCTTCAAATTTCGTTATCACTTTGCACAATGGCACTCATCTTTCACTGTTTATCTTTTGGGTTAAATGTTCTTATTGGTATTATATAAATGCAGTCACCGTCTCTTCCCTATTACTTTGTTAGTGAATTAAAATGAGATGACTTTGAACCAGCTGTTTTTAGTGTCTTGTTCAGATGCTGTGCACTGCGTGAAGACTTTGCGAGGATGGTGCTGTAGAAATTGAATACTGCCTCGACTTAGACCAGTTCTTCGGACATGAAAGATAACAAAAATGGCATATATATCGAGATTCAGAACTGCAAACAAGCTGACAATCTGACCATTTCTTTATGCAATATAGCAAGTGGATACTTTTCGGTGTTCATGGTGAGGATCTACTAACTGGGTAATGCAACTGTGGTTATGACTGATTTAAAATTATGTTTCTAGCAAGATGTGAAATGATGAGGAAATAGCGATCTGCATTGCGTATTTGGCTTCTCCACCTCCATATTCTGGTTATGCAAAAAAAAAATTATGGGAACAAAATGCACAAGCAATGTAAGATCTAGGCCAGCTGTTATATAGTAGCCTGTAATTTGTAGGCGCCAGATAAAATACTGAGCTTGTAGTTTTGACTACGTATCTGAAGATGAAAAGATTTCTTTTGACTTCCAATTGCCTTTGATACCCTTCGCTTATACCTTTTTTGGTAGTTTCATAGCCATTTTCATTAAAAGTAATGCTTTTTTGGGTTTGAATTAAGGGGTTAGCTTCAAGCTATTTTATCCAAGTGTTAAGAAAATGAAGAAAACTTAGAATAAGAAGAACAATAGGATAGATATGAAGAAGAACATCAACTCTCCTTTCCTTCTACCAAAAAGAGAAAGCATAGAAAGGCAGGAGTTGTTTCACTGTTTTCTTTTAAAAACAACCTTAAATTCGACAGCTAAGATGGATAGAAAGAGGAGAGCAAAGAGTGGAATTGATGGGAAACGAGAAATATGTGAATGCTGTTACTGGAGATGAGTTTTGTTCCGTCTTTGATAACTCAAAGAAGAAGAGCTATAATATGTTCTTTGCGGTGGTTGGTGTGGAAAGAGGAGGCGAACAGATCGACTCATAAGGAGAATGGAGGATGAGACGGCTGTGAAGACAGTAATTCAATATGCATTTGTAAAAGTTGATACTTCAAATATGCTAAAGGTATTATGATATTATACTACTGAGTAGTGACTCGGGATAATAACGATATTTTACATGTACTGTAGTTATATGATATTCTGCCAAAGACAGGGTTTATTTGATATTATACACTCGACAAGTGCTTATTTGATATAATGTATTGTAGGTTTAATAATTTTACTTTCATCGGTAAACTTATATGATATTTTACTTGAAAGTTGGATTTATATGATATTTGACCTGTTGTTGTGAAGTATTATAATGTTTTACCTGTTAGGATGTATATGATTTCTTACCTGCAATTGTGGACTATCGAAATATTTGACCTAGGACTATGAACTCATATAATAGTTTATTGACAATGAGTAAGGTCCGTTTGGTTTATTATTCTGATAGTTTTTAAAATAATATTTTGAAAAAAATTAGATTTGGTGAGTATTACGATATAGAATTTAAAAATTAACAAAAATACCTCTTATGTTTGTTTATTTACTAAACACCTCTATAATAAAATATTAAAAGTTAACAAAAACACTCATAATTCATCCATTAAATACAGACAGTCGGCCACCACTGTCGGAGGATGGTCGGAGTCGTTGTATCGGTGCATGACCGGCTAGATCTTGTTGGTCGTGCATTGATATGACCTTTTCAAGCCAGATCTACCATGGATCTGGTCATTGACGGTCAGATCTGGTCGCATTTAATCGTTAACGATGATCATATTTTGGCCATCGTTGACGACTGTCTACGGTCAGATTCATCGTGGATCTGGTCAAAAAATACTAGATCAGTATACTATCGATAAGATTCAGTAAGTAGTGCACCATTACACCAAATTCGGCTAGCTTCTAACAATGGTGGCCAAAATTTGATAAATGTGGGTTATTGGGATATTTTTGTTAATTTTTAAAAAAAAAATTTGAAATTGTTATTAAATTAACAAATTTAGGGGTTTAACTTGTTAAGAATAGTTTTCCCAAGCTATGTACCAAACGGAGCCTACGATTCTATGAAATTCTATTTAACTACAAAAAGTAAAATAATAAATAAAAACAAAATAAGCTAAAAAGACCCGATATCTTGCCTCTGTCCTCGGGTTCATGGGCTGCGAATGGAAGATTCAGAACAGGATTTGCCCAAAAACGCAAAGAAATTTACGAAGAAGAAGTACGGAAGAGAACAAGATGAACGAGAACATCAACTGTCCTCTCATTCTGCCACGAAGAGAAAGCGTAGAAAGGCGCGAGTTGTTTCTCGGTTTTTTCATAAACAACCCTCGAATTCGGCGTCTAAGATCAATAAAAAGAAGAAAACAAAGAGTGGGATTGTTGGGGAAGACGTGAATTTTTTTTCTGGAGATGGGATTTGTTCCGTCTTTGATAACTCAAAGCAGAAGAAGAGGATTAATGATAATATTCTTTGCGGTGATTGGTGTGGAAAGAGGAGGAGAACAGAGCGACCCAGACGGCGGAAAACGGCGGAGGTGACGGTCGTGAAGACTGAGAGTAATTTAAGTGATGCTGCAAGTCTTGATGACGTGCTTTCACAGTTCATTTACCAGGGGATTTGTATTAACGGTGAAACTAAAACCATGGAGAAGAATGAGAACGAGAATGAGGATGAGGATGAGGATGAGGATGAGAACAAAGCTTTTTTAGAAGATTCTTTGCCTCCAATTTATGGAAGCTTGGGAGAAGAAGAAGTTGAAAAGAGTTGTTTGAAAATAACAAGAGAGAGTAGTCTACAACAGGTAGAAGTTAGAAAGGTTTCACCTTACTTTATGAATGGCTGTAAAGCTTCAAAAGTGAAGGCGAAACGCAGAAAGGTTTCGCCTTACTTTAAAAAGGCAGTAACACCTGATAATGGTTGTTGTGATTATCAGAAGTTTGATGAGGCTTATGAAAGAAAAAGTTTGGATAATACTTGGAAGCCTCCCCGTTCAGAACATGGTCTTTTACAAGAGGATCATTATCATGACCCTTGGAGGGTCTTGGTTATTTGTATGCTTCTCAACCGCACGTCTGGTACGCAGGTATAGTGTTATTGTTTCTTTTATATCGTGTTCTTAGTTTAGTTTAGTTACTTATTGAGGTGAAATTTTGCTTTGCTAGTGAGCTGTTTATATTTAATTCTTGTGACTTTAGTTAGTAGGTATAAGTTATTCTGCAGAAACATATAGGTTTCTAACAAGCTTGTCTGGTCAACTTGGCACTTATATTAGAAATTATAGTGTTTCAAAGAAGTTTCCTGTTTCTCTTTACTCTGCTTAGGAACTGTAATATAAATTGTAGTTTGTTTAGATAATGGATGGCTTTTCTTCACTTGATTATATTAGGTTGGGTATTTATATGGCAAATGTCAAGCATGTATCCATCATTTTCCCTAAATTATCCTGCATATTATAGTTGAGACAATGATGAAGGTCCTGACGTATCGGGATTAGGCTTGTTTGCTAATGTTTACTCTTTTTTCTGAGACATCTATTGCATTTGAAATGAATCTCTGTTGTGGCTTCTACACAGTTAAGTGTAGTTATATTTTGAATTTAGTCCTCATCCTTCTCAGTGGAGACCTATTAATTAAGCCTTGCTACATGATGGGAGGTCGCNTGGACTATCGAAATATTTGACCTAGGACTATGAACTCATATAATAGTTTATTGACAATGAGTAAGGTCCGTTTGGTTTATTATTCTGATAGTTTTTAAAATAATATTTTGAAAAAAATTAGATTTGGTGAGTATTACGATATAGAATTTAAAAATTAACAAAAATACCTCTTATGTTTGTTTATTTACTAAACACCTCTATAATAAAATATTAAAAGTTAACAAAAACACTCATAATTCATCCATTAAATACAGACAGTCGGCCACCACTGTCGGAGGATGGTCGGAGTCGTTGTATCGGTGCATGACCGGCTAGATCTTGTTGGTCGTGCATTGATATGACCTTTTCAAGCCAGATCTACCATGGATCTGGTCATTGACGGTCAGATCTGGTCGCATTTAATCGTTAACGATGATCATATTTTGGCCATCGTTGACGACTGTCTACGGTCAGATTCATCGTGGATCTGGTCAAAAAATACTAGATCAGTATACTATCGATAAGATTCAGTAAGTAGTGCACCATTACACCAAATTCGGCTAGCTTCTAACAATGGTGGCCAAAATTTGATAAATGTGGGTTATTGGGATATTTTTGTTAATTTTTAAAAAAAAAATTTGAAATTGTTATTAAATTAACAAATTTAGGGGTTTAACTTGTTAAGAATAGTTTTCCCAAGCTATGTACCAAACGGAGCCTACGATTCTATGAAATTCTATTTAACTACAAAAAGTAAAATAATAAATAAAAACAAAATAAGCTAAAAAGACCCGATATCTTGCCTCTGTCCTCGGGTTCATGGGCTGCGAATGGAAGATTCAGAACAGGATTTGCCCAAAAACGCAAAGAAATTTACGAAGAAGAAGTACGGAAGAGAACAAGATGAACGAGAACATCAACTGTCCTCTCATTCTGCCACGAAGAGAAAGCGTAGAAAGGCGCGAGTTGTTTCTCGGTTTTTTCATAAACAACCNTAATACTCTAAAATGTTTTATATTGTTTATCTTATATTATATACAGTATATTTTAGTGCAAAGACTTAATACTATAGCAATATTAGAAATTCCGATTACTAATCACATTTGGGGGAAATTCAAAATAAAACCACTATTATTATTATTATTATTATTATTATTATTATTATTAGCTTGTGATATTTTTACCAAACTTTTCAACAGGTCCCATTCTCCTGTTATTGCCTGAAGTGTAATTCCACTTCAATTACTCAACTCAACATAAGCCCAAATTGATATCAATTGGGTTAACACAATTTCATCCAATATCAATTCTAATTCATCCCGTACTTCCAATATCTCATTATCAATATGATAGATGGAGACTTTGATCAAAATCATCTTCTCCCTCAATTGATCGAGTATCGATTCTCATCTGGGAATTCCGAAGCTTTTGGCCTACTTTAAAAGAAGAAAATTATGTAGATAACTCCATAAACTAACACAATCTAGAGCAATATAAACCATTTATGCAATTTCAATGATCATAAGTGACTCTCAATGGTCCAAAAATAGGTCAAATTTATGGAGTCATAGTCGCCTAAAAAATTCGGTAGTAGGAAAAACCCGGAGATATAAAAATTCAAACTGCAAGATAGTTCAAGACAGCATCTTACATGATATTCAAACTGCAAGTACAATATTTTATTCATAGTACACAAATTTACACTATAGTTGTCATAAACATGACAGCGGCCTGCATACAAGCAAAAGTTTGAAGAAAGATAGGAACTTAAAACTTGATGGCAATTCGAATTCAAAGGGAGTTATGATAACTTCTCTCAAAGTATCTCAAAATAAATTATGGAGAATGACAAACAAGTGCCACTAAATATTTTTAATAATCTGCTAGCGAAAAATAGCATTACTCTTTGTTAGTGAGATTTGCAGTAAATGCATCTGGGTTTACTTGGTTCTTTGTGTAGAAGAGAAAGAAGAAAAGATGGAGTTCTAGGAAAACCTGGAATCAAGAAATGGAGATACAGTAGATCCCAACAAAAGTGAGAGTTGTGGGCTATCAATAGTGGTGGTCTTTCATGCAGCAAAAGCAAACCATTGCAGGTCCTTGTTGGTGCGAGAAAACTGATTTATAGAATAGGAAAAATTAGAAAACGAGTAAAGGAAAAAGAAAGTATATAGATTAAAGTTCAAATAGTGTGTCAGATAGGCTGTTACGAGGAATATGCAAGTCTCTTGATGCCATATATCAAGAACAATTAGAAGTGGATCTGTGGCTAATTAAGGCCAGGCATGTTAGAAGAGGATCCAGGATCAGATACATTGTTTTCGTTTTCATGTCCAGCGAAGATTCAATCCTCCAACTGCCTCAATTGTTCTTCTCGATTCCAAACTTTTGCTTTTTGATCCAGAGCAACATTGTCTCTCTGAAGACATGCCATATATCAAGAACAATTGGAAGTGGATCTGTGGCTAATTAAGGCTAGGCATGTTAGAAGAGGATCCAGGATTAGATACGTTGTTTTCATTTTCATGTCCAGCGAAGAGTCGCTCCCCCAACTGCCTCAATCGTTCTTCTCGATTCCAAACTTTTGCTTCTTGATCCAGAGTAACATTGTCTCGTTGAAGACCCGCTCCTCTAACCGCCTCAATTGTTCTTGCTGATCCTGCAGGACAGATTGATCATATCTGCACCTGCCCATTGATTATTAACCATTGCACGCAACTCATCCATCTCTTCGCGCAACTCCTCTGTCGGTGGATTTGATGCAGCTGGAAGATGTGTGTCATGAAATAGCTCCTCCTGAATGACTCTCTCCAGTTAGTTTTCTCTATATAATAACGAAAATATGCCCTACTAATTAAAATTCAACTTTTAAATACCATACCTCATCATCGTCATCATCATCATTGTGGCATAAAGAAGATTTTAACCATGCCCAATGCTTATATGGGAGCTGTGCTCGAGAAACAGGGTCCTTCTTAGGCCGCTTCTGCACATCAGAAATAGAAAAGTTAACATTCGAATGAAAAAAGAGTTAATTTCTTATAGTTGTTAATTTTCGAGTAATACTATACATAAAAATGTGAATACGAAACTAATATGACATTATTCTTTTCCTAACACATATCATTCTGCTTATAGAATTTGGTAATCCTTCCCACCTTTATTCATGCATAGGGGTTATTTGCATTGATTCAGCTTTTAAGTGGTGCAACAAAATGGGGAACACTTCATCAGTCACAATAGCAAATGCCATCTTCATCCAAGCTTGAAATTTCAGTGATGCTGTTTCTACATTGCCCCACAACCCACTTGTCATGTCTTCAATAAGAATGAAAGTGAACCAGTGAAAATTCACCAAGTGAAATTGAGGCAGATTCATGTTTGGGTGGTGTGGGTTACATTTATGTTGATGTTCATGATATTCCATCTTCTCAATGAGCATTGCTCAGAATAAAGCAAAGTCAGAATTATACCAAGTAAATATGGCCCATGAGAAATGAAATTAACAAAGTGAAAACTAGCCACATTGATTGGTTCAATGAAAAGGGCACAAAAGAAAATGAGGAAAACCTTAAATCAGGAAATGCAGACACAAAAGATCCCAACAAAAGAGAGAACTGTTCAGGCCAGGCCTTGTTGGTCTTCCACGGGTTTTTCAAGGGCAACAATTGCAGTGAAACAAAATCAAAACGTAGAAGATTTCTGGGGGGAGGGATGTGAATGTGGTTAGCTAGGCTAGGCATGCTGTGAGAATGAGGAAATCCCTTACGAACTCAGAGACTACCTCCTCCAACCGTTTCATTTTTTCTTCAAGCCTGTTGATCCGATCTTTTTCTTCCTCTTTACTCTGAGCTGCAGCATGTAACCTATCTCTTCACGTAACTCTTCAGTCTCTTATGTAACTCATCGCTCATCACGTAATCCATCATTCTCTTCACGAACTGATCGATCTCTTCACGCAACTCTCCATTCTCTTCACGTAAACCCTCATTGGTTTCACGTAACTCCTCCATCTCTTCATGTGATGCAGCTGCACAGTGTTTGTTATGGAACAGCTTCTCCTGATTGGATTACTTCCAGTAAGCCTCCTCTTTCTAATAAAAATTTAGACAGGATAAAATAGTTACAATAAAGCTCAACTTTAGAAGAACATACCCACGTCCTCCATAACGTAAAGAGGATTTAATCTGCTCTATGATCATACGGAAGTGTGCTCGAGCGTTAGAGGCCTTTCTAGGTCTCCTCTGTACATAAGAAACAGAAAAGTTAGCACCCAAACATGACAAACAAAATTAGAGGAAAAAGAGCATACCTCAAAGTATATTTTCAAGAATGTGCACAGCCCATCCAACATCCTTGTGACATTTCTGTATGGATGCTGGCGTGTCCTCTGTTGACTTAAACTTCTTAAAATACTGATGGAGCTCATATCTATAGTCTTCCAACTTTTTTCCATTAACTGATTACACTCATGTTAACTTTGCTATACATGTCTTCATCCATGTTTTACTTCCCGGTTATAAGGTTTAAAGTATAAACAAGATCAAACCTTGATTTGATTTGAACAAAATGGTACTAGCACAGCACTTTACATCCAAGTTCTGCCATTTGAACATAGTAAAACACACAGTGAACAAATAAACCCAATAGATAAGCTAATTAAAATTAACCAAACTGAAAAGCCAAATATTTTGATCATAATTTTCTTTTCAATGACACAAAAACTCTTAATACATCAAAAACTTAAATAAGCACACTGGTCAACTAATAGAGTGTAGGAAGTGATTTTAGCACCATAAAAACTGCTTTCATAAATTAAAGTCTTTTGTGTCTATTCACAGTGTTTCACTAAGACAGATAAAAGGGCTCTTGCATAGAACAACGAAAGCACTTGAAGCTCCCTTTTACTCGAAAGGGCTAACTACAATAACTCCCAAACATACTTTAAAAAGTGAGTTATGGAGTGCGTTTAAGTTTGAACTTGGAAGTACAAATTACCTATTTTCACAAAAAAGCGCTTTTCAAACTCATTTGAGTTATCTTATAAAGAAGTTAACGTCTATTTCAACTAAACACTACCATATCAACAAAAGTGGTTTGTGCTTATTTTTTTAGTGTCTCACCAAGATAAATAAAATTGCTTTCTGTAATGCTTCAAGGAGAGACCCTTGAGGGTTCTACTTTCAAAAGCAATTTTTCAGTAACAAAAGCACGTGAATTGCGCTTCTACTTGAAAACACTTCACCAAAGCCCCACAAAAATACACTCAAAGTGAATTACGAAGTGCTTTTGTAAAGAAAAAACACTTCTGAGAATAAACACCACTACATAAATAAAATAACCGGTTTACCAAACATCCCAAATACACCCTAATCCACCCTCGATGCCTTCAAGACCTCAATATCATCAAGAATATCACAAAAATCAAAACAATCAAAGAAACAAAACAAACTCACTTAAACTAACAAAAGAAAAAAACCCAATTCAATTCATAGTCAATATAGATCAACTGACGCAACAAAGAAATTAAATTACAAACAAACAAAAAAAAACGAAAACCCACAAAAGGCTGATGGAATTAAAGAAACCCACATGAAGAAATCAGAAATTGAAGTCAAAGAGAAAGCTTACCAGAAGGCAGGAAGTAAAGGGAAAGATATGTCGCGAAACTGAAGAGAAACAGGGTAAGAGGGTAAAGTGAGCTGGAGCGAGAGAAGAGAGAGCTGAGAAAAAAAAGAGAAGAAATGAGAATTAGGGATTGTGATAAATAAACATGGACGATCTTTAGCGACTACTGAGAGAGGTGGTTTAGCGCCAGAAGCCAGTGGCTGACAGACTCATTGGATTTGGGACTGTATATATATGGGCAGCATCCGCCTTTCTAATTATATATTATATAAGAGTTAAAAACACATTTAACATATTATGAAAATTAAAATAATAATTTTATTTATCGAAATAAATTATTGTAAGTCGTTAAAAAGTGGCCAGCCTGCAGATCTTGGTCAACATGTATTTCAAACCCCTACCATCTCACTTTTCATTTATTTATGATTTAGGAATATATGCTGTGAGGTACAATTTGGTGATTGATTGTTGTCTTTGAAGAAAATGGGGAAAAGAAATGTTTTGGAGTATTTGATAATATTGTAAAATATTTTGTCCTTAATATAGTTGGACACTTATATTGAAGAAGGATAAATTTTATTAACTTTGTACGGCCACCGTTTCTTGCTAGGCCAGAGTTACCAGGAATCAGGAAATATTTATGGTAGATTCAAAACAAGTAAAGAAAGTTATTTTATGTCTATCTCAAGTTTTTCCCCCTGGTTGAGTCGTGGTCATAAAATTATGTTTTTAGCATCAATTTTATACCATCATGGGCAAGATCATATATTCTTCAAGAAATAATTTGGATTTGATGACTTTGTATAGAACCAGAAGAATGGGGTAGCTCTCCACATTCACTATTTAGGGAAGGAATTCTAGCCAGTTCTGTATGTCAAAGGGGGCAGTATTGCTACTGTTTTTTTAAGTTAAATTCTGCATTTTTGGCTGTAGGTTAAACAGTATGGGCTGCTTGTGTTAGACTTTTCTTCTGACTGATAAGTAGGTTTTATAACCACATGAACTTTTATGCTTTTTTTTGGCCATATGAACATATTCTTTTAGTTCCAAACAAAATATGGATAGACTCCTGCATAATATAGTCAATATCTTTAAAGAAGTATAAGATCTTATTGCAGGCTAGAAGAGTCATATCAGAACTTTTCACTTTGTGTCCTGATGCAAAAACTGCAACCGAGGTTGACCCTGAGGATATCGAAAAGATCATTCAAACTCTAGGTCTTCAAAAGAAGAGGGCAATGATGATACAACGTTTCTCTCAGGAGTATTTGTGGGAGGAGTGGACACATGTAACTCAGCTTCACGGTGTTGGAAAGTAAGTAGGCAACTCTTCTCTCTCACTTGATCCAAATTTATTTGTGCCTAGATCTTGTTCAAGATACCTCAATTCATCTTTTTGGAAACTCATATTTCGCTACCACCTTTGATTGGCCAGGTATGCAGCCGATGCATACGCAATTTTCTGTACAGGGAAGTGGGATCGGGTGAGACCTACTGATCACATGTTAAATTATTACTGGGATTTTCTTCATAGTATCAAAAGTTCATTGTAGTATTTGTTTCTATCTGAGTAACGGGTTCACTAAACTGTTGATGAGAAACATGTATATAATATTATATTTATCAGAAGAAAAAAAGAAAAGAATTTTGGGTTAGCACATCTCTCCTAGAATTCACAGGTGGTTTGGTTAACTAGTGTAAACTGCCATTTAAGTATATATACAATGAAACTACAGGGAATTCCTATCTTTTAAGCATTACAAGATGGCTTCAGTTGGTCTCAAGATGAAAGCTCCCTTTTTAATGCAAAATTCAAAGACCAAGTAAATATAGTCCATAAGAAATGAAATTTAGCATGTTCTAAGCATCTGTAAGATGCCTAGTAAAGAGAGTGAAAATTAGCATTACTTCATCAAACTTTCTCACAGTACACTCAAACAAGTGGCTACTGTTAATCTATAACTACATACAACCTCATTTGCTGTAAATAAGAGAATATGACACAAGTGATGCCAACAAAAGAAAGGGCCATTCAGGCCACCATTTGAGGTGGTCTTGCAGACTTGCACGGGTTGATCAAGCCGCGAATATCTTCTGAATAGTTTCGATTGTTCTTGATTCTCCCAAGGTATAGCAAGGATCCCATTACAAACTGCAGTATGTAACTCCAACATCTCTGTAACTCGCTTTATGTAACTCTTCTTTCTGTTCACGTATGACGTAACCCCTCACTCTGTACATGTAATCTGTCGTTCACTCGTAAATTCCTTTTCTTCTTTGTGAATATTTCTGTAAGATGTTAGTGTGCTGCATGCCTATTCGACTGACTTAAAACTTCCTAAAAGAAAGCTGGAGCTCATAACTGTAATCCTGCCAACGCTTTTCTATAATCTGCTGTTTGAACAATTGATTTCACTATGTAGTAAAATTCGCAAGTGAACTAACAAACATGATAGTGAGTTCAATTAAAATACTTAACCAAACTGCAAAGCTCACTATGTTCATCATAATGTTTTTATTTTCAATTCACTAAAAATGCTTTTTGGGAAGGAGAGAGCCAGTGAGTGGCAACTGGTTCTTAAGGGTATTAAAAAACAACCTTCTGTCCATGTGCTGTCAGAGGTATGGAAGTCCGTAAGCAAACCCTTTAAAAGCACTTTATAGTGTGTTATTAAAACAAATAGAAGTGCTTTCTGAAATGCCACTTGATAGGATCTGTCTCGGAAGCAATTTTTAGCAACAAAAGCCCTTGAAGCGATTCGTAATCACTTGTTCCTTCAATAGCACCCCAGACGTTCTTTTAAGAGTAATTTTTGCAATTCAATCTTTAACCTTTAACGAGTTTAATTTCTAATAGTTGTTAATTTTCAAGTAATACTATACATAAAAATTGTGAATACGAAACTAATATGACATTATTCTTTTCCTAACACATCATTCATCTCTGCTTATAGAATTTGGTAATCCTTCCCACCTTTATTCATGCATAGGGGTTATTTGCATTGATTCAGCTTTTAAGTGGTAGCAACAAATAATGGGGAACACTTCATCAGTCAACAATAATGCAAATGCCATCTTCACCCAAACTTGAAATTTCAGTGATGCTATTTCTGCATTGCCCCACAACCCACTTGTCATTGTCTTCAATAAGAATGAAAGTGAACCAGTGAAAATTCACCAAGTGAAATATGAGTCAGATTCATGTTTGGGTTGTGGTTGTGGTTACATTTATGTTGATGTTCATGATATTTCCATCTTCTCAATGATGCATTGCTCAGAATAAAGCAAAGTCAGAATTATACCAAGTAAATATGGCCCATGAGAAATGAAATTAACAAAGTGAAAACTAGCTCACATTTGATTGGTTCAATGAAAAGGGCACAAAAGAGAAAATGAGGAAAACCTTAAATCAGGAAATGCAGACACAAAAGATCCCAACAAAAGAGAGAACTGTTCAGGCCACCGGCCTTGTTGGTCTTCCACGGGTTTTTCAAGGGCAAAACCATTGCAGTGAAACAAAATCAAAACGTAGAAGATTTCTGGTGGGAGGAATGTGAATGTGGTTAGCTAAGGCTAGGCATGCTGTGAGAATGAGGAAATCCCTTACGAACCTCAGAGACTACCTCCTCCAACCGTTTCATTTTTTCTTCAAGCCTGTTGATCCGATCTTTTTCTTCCTCTTTACTCTGAGCTGCAGCATGTAACCCCTCTATCTCTTCACGTAACTCTTCAGTCTCTTCATGTAACTCATCAGCCTCATCACGTAATCCATCATTCTCTTCACGTAACTGATCGATCTCTTCACGCAACTCCTCATTCTCTTCACGTAAACCCTCATTGGTTTCACGTAACTCCTCCATCTCTTCATGTGATGCAGCTGCACAGTGTTTGTTATGGAACAGCTTCTCCTGATTGGATTACTCTCCAGTAAGCCTCCTCTTTCTAATAAAAATTATAGACAGGATAACATAGTTACAATTAAAGCTCAACTTTAGAAGAACATACCCACTGTCCTCCATAACGTAAAGAGGATTTTAATCCTGCTCTATGATCATACGGAAGTTGTGCTCGAGCGTTAGAGTCCTTTCTAGGTCTCCTCTGTACATAAGAAACAGAAAAGTTAGCACACAAACATGACAAACAAAATTAGAGAAAAAAGAAGCATTTACCTCAAAGTACTTATTTTCAAAGAATGTGCACAGCCCATCCCAATCATCCTTTGTGACATTTCTGTATGGATGCTGGCGTGCCTCCTCTGTTGACTTAAACTTCTTAAAATACTGATGGAGCTCATATCTATAGTCCTTCCAACTTTTTTCCATTAACTGATCTACACTCATGTTAAATTTGCTATACATGTCTTCATCCATGTTTTACTTCCCGGTTATAAGGTTTAAAGTATAAACAAGATCAAACCTTATGATTTGATTTGAAACAAAATGGTACTAGCACAGCACTTTACATCCAAGTTCTGCCATTTGAACATAGTAAAACACACAGTGAACAAATAAACCCAATAGATAAGCTAATTAAATAATTAACCAAACTGAAAAGCCAAATATTTTGATCATAATTTTTCTTTTCAATGCATCACAAAACTCTTAATACATCAAAAACTTAAATAAGCCACACTGGCTCAACTAATAGAGTGTAGGAAGTGATTTTAGCACCATAAAAACTGCTTTCTTAAAATTAAAGTCTTTTGTGTCTATTTCACAGTGTTTCACTAAGACAGATAAAAGGGCTCTTGCAATTTAGAACAACGAAAGCACTTGAAGCTCCCTTTTACTCGAAAGGGCTAACTACAATAACACTCCCAAACATACTTTAAAAAGTGAGTTATGGAGTGCGTTTATAGTTTGAACTTGGAAGTACAAATTACCTATTTTCACAAAAAAGCGCTTTTCAAACTCATTTGATGTTATCTTATAAAAGAAGTTAACGTCTATTTCAACTAAACACTACCATATCAACAAAAGTGGTTTGTGCTTATTTTTTTAGTGTCTCACCAAGATAAATAAAATTGCTTTCTGTAATGCTTCAAGGAGAGACCCTTGATGGGTTCTACTTTCAAAAGCAATTTTTCAGTAACAAAAGCACTTGGAATTGCGCTTCTACTTGAAAACACTTCCTACCAAAGCCCCACAAAAATACACTCAAAGTGAATTACGAAGTGCTTTTGTAAAGAAAAAAACACTTCTGAGAATAAACACCACTACATAAATAAAATAACCGGTTTACCAAACATCCCAAATACACCCTAATCCACCCTCGATGCCTTCAAGACCTCAATATCATCAAGAATATCACAAAAAATCAAAACAATCAAAGAAACAAAACAAACTAACTTAAACTAACAAAAGACAAAAACCCAATTCAATTCATAGTCAATATAGATCAACTGACGACAACAAAGAAATATAAATTACAAACAAACAAAAAAAAACGAAAACCCACAAAAGGCTGATGGAATTAAAAGAAACCCACATGAAGAAATCAGAAATTGAAGTCAAAGAGATAAAGCTTACCAGAAGGCAGGAAGTAAAGGGAAAGATATGTCGCGAAACTGAAGAGAAATCAGGGTAAGAGGGTAAAGTGAGCTGGAGCGAGAGAAGAGAGAGCTGAGAAAAAAAAGAGAAGAAATGAGAATTAGGGATTGTGATAAATAAACATGGACGATCTTTAGCGACTACTGAGAGAGGTGGCTTTAGCGCCAGAAGCCAGTGGCTGACAGACTCATTGGATTTGGGACTGTATATATATATGGGCAGCATTCCCGCCTTTCTTATATTATATATTATATTAAGAGTTAAAAACACATTTAACATATTTATGAAAATTTTAAAATAATAATTTTATTTATCGAAAATAAATTATTAGTAAGTCGTTAAAAATTATAATACTCTAAAATGTTTTATATTGTTTATCTTATATTATATACAGTATATTTTAGTGCAAAGACTTAATACTATAGCAATATTAGAAATTCCGATTACTAATCACATTTGGGGGAAATTCAAAATAAAACCATTATTATTATTATTATTATTAGCTTGTGATATTTTTACCAAACTTTTCAACAGGTCCCATTCTCCTGTTATTGCCTGAAGTGTAATTCCACTTCAATTACTCAACTCAACATAAGCCCAAATTGATATCAATTGGGTTAACACAATTTCATCCAATATCAATTCTAATTCATCCCGTACTTCCAATATCTCATTATCAATATGATAGATGGAGACTTTGATCAAAATCATCTTCTCCCTCAATTGATCGAGTATCGATTCTCATCTGGGAATTCCGAAGCTTTTGGCCTACTTTAAAAGAAGAAAATTATGTAGATAACTCCATAAACTAACACAATCTAGAGCAATATAAACCATTTATGCAATTTCAATGATCATAAGTGACTCTCAATGGTCCAAAAATAGGTCAAATTCATGGAGTCATAGTCGCCTAAAAAATTCGGTAGTAGGAAAAACCCGGAGATATAAAAATTCAAACTGCAAGATAGTTCAAGACAGCATCTTACATGATATTCAAACTGCAAGTACAATATTTTATTCATAATACACAAATTTACACTATAGTTGTCATAAACATGACAGTGGCCTGCATACAAGCAAAGTTTGAAGAAAGATAGGAACTTAAAACTTGATGGCAATTCGAATTCAAAGGGAGTTATGATAACTTCTCTCAAAGTATCTCAAAATAAATTATGGAGAATGACAAACAAGTGCCACTAAATATTTTTAATAATCTGCTAGCGAAAAATAGCATTACTCTTTGTTAGTGAGATTTGCAGTAAATGCATCTGGGTTTACTTGGTTCTTTGTGTAGAAGAGAAAGAAGAAAAGATGGAGTTCTAGGAAAACCTGGAATCAAGAAATGGAGATACAGTAGATCCCAACAAAAGTGAGAGTTGTGGGCTATCAATAGTGGTGGTCTTTCATGCAGCAAAAGCAAACCATTGCAGGTCCTTGTTGGTGCGAGAAAATTGATTTATAGAATAGGAAAAATTAGAAAACGAGTAAAGGAAAAAGAAAGTATATAGATTAAAGTTCAAATAGTGTGTCAGATAGGCTGTTACGAGGAATATGCAAGTCTCTTGATGCCATATATCAAGAACAATTAGAAGTGGATCTGTGGCTAATTAAGGCCAGGCATGTTAGAAGAGGATCCAGGATCAGATACATTGTTTTCGTTTTCATGTCCAGCGAAGATTCGTTCCTCCAACTGCCTCAATCGTTCTTCTCGATTCCAAACTTTTGCTTCCTGATCCAGAGTAACATTGTCTCATTGAAGACCCACTCCTCTAACCGCCTCAATTGTTCTTGCTGATCCTGCAGGACAGATTGATCATATCTGCACCTGCCAATTGATTATTAACCATTGCTCGTCCATCTCTTTGTGCAACTCCTCTGTCGGTGGATTTGATGCAGCTGGAAGATGTGTGATATGAAATAGCTCCTCCTGAATGACTCTCTCCAGTTAGTTTTCTCTATATAATAACAAAATTATGCCCTACTAATTAAAATTCAACTTTTAAGTACCATACCTCATCATCGTCATCATCATCATTGTGGCATAAAGAAGATTTTAACCATGCCCAATGCTTATATGGGAGCTGTGCTCGAGAAACAGGGTCCTTCTTAGGCCGCTTCTGCACATCAGAAATAGAAAAGTTAACATTCGAATGAAAAATAAACAAACAAAAAAAACAAATAACTATTCACCTCAGAGTACTTATTTTCAAAGAACGTGCATAACCAACTCCAATCTTCTTGTGTGACATGTCCATACGGATACTTGCGTTCCTCTTCTGTCGACTTGAACCCTTTAAAACACTGATAGAGCTCATACTTATAATCCTTCCATCCAATTCGTTTCCATCAAATTATCTACATACATACAGATATCGTCTATGTGGAAATTGGCTTCATCCATGTTACTTCTGTCATAAGGTTCAAACAAAATCAATTCTACTGCCCCTCAATTTGTAAATTAGTAATGCAAACAGTAGATCTGAAAGATGCTTTTCTTTCCATTTCATAGGATTATATGAACAATGATTTTGGCAGTAAGCAAAAGCATTTCTACAAAAAGTGCTTTAATGAAAAAACAAAACAAAGCAGAAAGATCCATAAAGAGATTTTTTTTTTTTTTTTGCTAAAAGAGGAACTTTTCAAATATGATTATAATCTTTAAAAAAAAAAAAAAAAAAAAATCACTTCATTCAAACGAAACAAAATTAAGGCAAAAATGTTTGTAATTTTAACAGTGTTCCTCAACAATCAACCACACAGAAATAATAATAATTCAAAAATAATTCACAGCTACCACAGAAGAACTTAAGTTGGATTAAATGACAATCTATTTGCAATTAATGGAATTATTTAACAATACAATTCACAGAAATCAAAATGGAGACTTGCATAAAAGTACAAACTTACCGAAGATGAGTGTTACAGCGAGAGCTGATGTGATTTGAAAATGAATTCGGGTTTCAGATTTACTGTAGGAAGCGTGATTGAGCGAGTAGATTGATAGGGCTTTCTTCTTATGCGAGTGTGTTTGTTGTTTAGCAACAAGAATGTCAAGAACACGACGTCGTTTCACTACTCGAAAGGAACGGTAACTTTATAAGCGCCAATACTGAAGGAGGATGTTTTCCCGCCTTTTTAGGCCAAGGATCACGATTATCTCCTCATTTTGTTAATCAATAATGTTAAAAAAAACTAATTTCAAAGAAGCAATTTTTTACTATGCATTAACGTCCATTCAATTACACTATATCTTGATAGATATTTATACGGACACATCTTTATTGCGATTGGATTGATATATATCTTTAGCATATTTCATCATAATTAAAGATACTTATACAATTGGATGCACACTTTGACACTTATATTCAATCTCATTATACATGAGAGATACTTACACAATACATTGACATGTTTCAATTGACATACAAATAAATTATATTAATATGTCTCGTCGTGATTAGACAGAAACACATACATTCGTTTTGAAAAAGAAATTTTTTATTATTCATTTGTTTTTTACGATATTATGGCAGTAAATTTTCAAGTTTTAAAAGTATTACATTAATATTAAATTTAAGTTCTTTTTTTTTTTATTATTTGATATTAAGAACTATCATATATAGAAATCATTGAATTTGTTCTTAAAAATAAGTGATCTCTTTATGCATAATATTACATTTCAATTTTTATATTCAGTATAATATATATCTATATTTAATGTTATAATTATTCATCAAAAAAAAAAAACCATAAGGATTAAATTTTATGGAAACCCATTTCATTTTCATTTACATGAAAGAAAATTGTATATAAGAATAATCTTATACAACCTCAGGAGGTGTTAAAAAATTATATCAAATCTTAATGTTTGAGAAATTTGCACAAACATCCCTGTTATTATGTTATCTGCTACTTAAGTGAGAGTTAAAACTGCCTTTGACTGATGGTAAATGAAACTTTTCATTATTAAAAAAGTAGATCTTTGAAAAGTTTTTACAAAGTAGACTTTGGCATAATCTTCATTAATCAATTTCTACAACCTAAGGGGTATATTAATTTTTCTTGGTACCCAGAACCTGTGTTTCAGGTTTCAATTCTAGGCATTTAGGAATCTGAACCAGTCAGTTCCAGTTCAGGTTCCAAATCCCAGGGTCTGGGATTTGGACGGGTACCCAGATTAAATGAAAATCGATGCAACAAAAAATAATTAAATTAAATTTTATATATTTATGCATAAAACAAATTTTATGACATGAATTTAATTGGACCAACCTGCAGGCTCCTTTCACGCTAAGCACCCAGGCCCTACATGCTCGACATGCAGGAAGGATTCTCCTTTGAGTTTCTTGTTAGAAGTTGATATCTTTTTTGCTAATATTTAGTGTCAATTCTTTTTTATCTTCATTAAATATATCAGGAGGTGCAGCTTCCCTCATGCATCAAATTCCTACAAGATGGCTACAACATGCTCATAAGCAAATCCAATGTGCAGCCATGCCTTGTGCATGGAAACTACGAGTTTATATGCATATAAAAAAAAAAAAAAAAATTGTAATATGCATAGCCATGCATTACATATATCAATTTAAAAAAAGGCAAAAAAAAAAAAAACCATGTGCTTGAAGAAAAAAAATCTCATTTTGTTGCCCAAAAACCTAACAAAACATGAAAATGAATATTGAAATGGTTGCTTCAAATAAGTAATGTAATTAGAAATTTTAGAAAGGAAAATTTAAGAGATCAAGGAATAAGTATTGATATACACAAAACATGTATATTACACTAGCAATTTCAAGAAACAACAATCCTAACAAGAAACCCCAAGTTTTTAAGAATAAACCAACTATGAAATACACCCTATAAGTCATATCTCACATGCTCATGTAAACTAGAACATATACAAAATAAAATGTGTATAATATATACAAAACACGTAACCAGAAATGATGAAATAGTAAGCCATTTCACCAAATTTCAACCCTAATGAGAAAACCCTTCTTCTCCTTTTTATTTTATTTTTTTTTTTTTCAGAAAACACAAATAGAAACCAAAACTAAACACAAATATAACTAAATATTATTGTAAAAACCATTTTCAAGCAAAAAAAAAAAAAAAAAAAAAAAAAAAAAAACAGATAGACTCCCAATGACAAAAACCCTTTTTTTTTTTTTTTTTCATAAACTAATCTTACCTGGAACTTAAGTCGACTGAAGTTCTTCATAGTGTGGAGGGTGGAGATCAAGTGCCTACTGTTGGGAGATGAAGATGGTAGAGTTTCATACATTGCATTCTTACTTTAGTCATTAACAATGAACCACGCACCTCCAACCCATGTAGTTGGGCATGAGATCATTCGGACTACGGATCCTTTGCGAATCACTTTTTGTAATTGGCATGCAATATGTTGTTATCTTGCCTAACCATTTATTGTAAGGGTATTGTTTTGTTACCTAGCAAACCATCAACATTTTTTTCCCTTTAGTATTGGAGGTGAAATTCAGCCATAATAACGAAAGTATAAAACAAATACGAGTGGTTTAAGTGAGTCTAAGTGTACCTAATGAGCACGCTTGACAATGGCAATGTCATTACCATATGTCGCAAATGTGTAATCACGATATCAAGCAAGTGCCCTAATCTTCAATTCATCACTCATGATCTTCAGGTCGAGGATATCATCAAAACTTTCAATCTCATGAAAGAAGGGAAGTGTATGCACTGCCTCATACACATGCCAAGCTAGGTACGTACAATTGGGCTATAAAGTTGATTACAATGAACATATTCTTATCAAAAAGACTCTTGTAAATTTCAATCAAGTTTTCTATTTTGATGAGGCACCACTGTCACTGTGAAGGATGAGAATTATTTAGTACCATTGCCTTACTTGTTGAACAACCATTTTCTTCAATCATCAAATTTTTTAGAGCTTCCATGTTAATAAGGTTCTATTATTAGTCTTTCTTCTTTGTAGGGTGTTTTAAAGCTTTCCAAGCTTAAATTAGGGAGTGATTTTTTCAATAATGCTATGAACACTAATAATTTACACCAAGTTTTTGTACCGACGTACGTGGCATCCAGTCAGACACGGCCATGTTGGAGACAACACAAGTCTTCTATGAATGAACGAGCATCCACGAAAATAACAATGGACTACCGTCTGACTGGATTGGAGTCTATTTACTATGGACGGGTGTCCACTTCATATGGACGTCCATCCATAAAATTTTAAAAATAAAATAATGGATGCCAGTCCATCTTGTATGGATGGGCATCCATCTAAAATCAGTGGTTTGTCTCTCTTTCCTTTCTTGTTCTTCTTCTTGGCTATTGTAGCTGGTTCAGCATCTCCTCAAGATGAGTTACTAGGTCTTGCTCTACCTTCATGTTAAGAGTTGAATTTGAGAGAGAGAAAGAGAGGCTTCTTGCTCCAACACAAAAACTGGCTCTTCTCTCTAGATAGGGGTTTGTGAGAAAATGACGAAAAAAAATTGTTGAGAAAATGATTCCTATAGGACCAGGTTTTCAAGCTGCTGGGGACTCGGGTTTGGCCACTGGAAAAGGTATAACATAGATTTTTAATTGAAATGGATTGTATCGAAAGGGAAGACAAGATTCGTGTGGTTGTCAGTTCCTAGCATCTATTGAATGTGTTATATTTCATATTGCTGAGAAAAGGTACAGACTGAAACTTGAGCTGTCTTCAGCTTTTCACAAATGGAAAATTGATAAGATGGGTGAAGAAGTTATCAGTTCTTGGACCAAGCAAGAACAGAAAAAATTCAAGAATATAGTGAGATTAAATCCTCCATCTCTTGATAAGTGTTTCTGGGACCAGATATTCAAGTTTTTTTAGCCAAAAGCAGAGAAGAACTCGTGAGCTACTATTGGCATCCATTATTTTATTTTTAAAATTTTATGGACGGGCGTCCATATGAGGTGGACACTCATCTATAGTAAATGGACTCCTGTTCAAATAATATGGACGAAAGTCCATTGTTATTTTTGTGGACGCTCGTTCATTCGTGTTGAACGGGCGTCCATAATTGTTGGATGACCATTCATTCATAGAAGACTTGTGTTATCTCCAATGTGGCCGCATCTGACTGGATGTCACGTACATTAGTACAAAAATTCAGTGCAAATTATTGATGTTCATAGCATTATTGGTGATTTTTAGCCTCCATTATTAAGTACACCATTTTTATATTTTAAAATCTCTTTTTGAACCCCACTTAATTACCAAAATTACCCTTTTAAACTTATATGTGTGTGTGTGTGTGTGTGTGTGTGTGTTATCCTCAATTTTTTTAATTTCTTGATAGATAATCTACTATTTTATTTTGTCTAAGTTCGTAAAGATTCATTGAAATATAGCAAATATAATAGAAGATGGTAAATATTTATATATTAATTTATTTATTTTGCTTTTAAATTTCCTAAACTCAAGATGTTGTCTTTTTAATTACTAAATAAATTTTAGATACTTCTTTCGTCAACCAATAATTGTTAAATCCAAAATTATGTATTCTAAACAACTCACTCCAAGAAACTCTACCATAAGTGAGATAATCATGTTAACACGAACAAAACATGTTTGGACAAACAAAACATGTTTGGAGTAGATAATTGTAAAGAAAGAAGGAAGATGAGGATATGAAAAATCATATTTCAATTTGACCGAAAAATTTAAATACAATGGAAATGTGAAAAGTGATTATATTTATGTTAAAAGGATAAACTATGAGTTTTAAATGTTATAAAAAAAAAAAAAGAATAAATAAAAGGAAAATATAAAATAAAGTAGAAGTTGTACTTAGAATTTATAGTGTCCTTTATAGTAATTTTATTTAAGGTTAAACTTGTCAGAAAAAAAAATTAAAAAATGGGAGCTGCTGATAAAAAAGAGTGGAGGCTTAAAATCACTACCCCTCCAATTAGGAGAGGATCCAATTAATAATTGAAGGAAAAAAGGGATTTAGCAAAGCCATTCACCACTCAAT